TAACCGTTACTACGTTATTACTAGTTTCTGTGTGATATGACTAACCGGTACTACGTTATTACTGGTTTCTGTGTGGTATACCTAACCGGTACAGCCATATTTCTGGTTTCTGTGTGATATTACTAACCGGTACAGCCTCATTACTGGTTTTTATGTGATGTAACTAACCGGTACAGCTTTATTACTAGTTTCTGTATGATATAACTAACCGGTAAAGCATTATTTCTGGTTTCTGTGTCATATAACTAACCGGTACTTCATTATTACTGGTCTTTGTGTGATATAACTAACCGGTACAGCCTTATTACTAGTTTCTGTGTGATATAACTAATCGGTACTTCCTTATTACTGGTTTCTGTGTGATATAACTAACCGGTACTTCATTATTACTGGTCTTTGTGTGATATAACTAACCGATACAGCCTTATTACTAGTTTCTGTGTGATATAACTAATCGGTACTTCCTTATTACTGGTTTCTGTGTGGTATAACTACCCGGTACAGCCATATTTCTGGTTTCTGTGTCATATAACTAACCGGTACAGCCTTATTACTGGTTTCTTTGTGATATAACTAACCGGAACTTCCTTATTACTGCTTTCTGTGTGGTATAACTAACCGGTACAGCCATATTTCTGGTTTCTGTGTCATATAACTAACCGGTACAGCCTTATTACTGGTTTCTGTGTGATGTAACTAACCGGTACATCCTAATTATCGGTTCTGTGTAATGTAACTAACCGGTACAGCCTCATTATTGGTTTCTGTGTAATGTAACTAACCGGTACAGCCTCATTACTGGTTTCTATGTGATGTAACTTACCGGTACAGCCTTATTACTGGTTTTTGTGTAATGTAACTAACCGGTACAGCCTCATTACTGGTTTCTATGTGATGTAACTTACCGGTACAGCCTTATTACTTGTTTTTGTGTAATGTAACTAACCGGTACAGTCTCATTACTGGTTTCTATGTGATGTAACTAACCGGTACAGCCTCATTACTGGTTTCTATGTGATATAACTAACCGGTACAGCCTTATTACTGGTTTCTGTGTGATGTAACTAACCGGTACATCCTAATTATCGGTTCTGTGTAATGTAACTAACCGGTACAGCCTCATTACTGGTTTCTATGTGATATGACTAACCGGTACAGCCTCATTACTGGTTTCTGTTAATGTAACTAACCGGTACAGCCTCATTACTGGTTTCTATGTGATGTAACTAACCGGTACAGCCTTATTACTGGTTTCTGTGTAATGTAACTAACCTGTACAGCCGCATTACTGGTTTCTATGTGATGTGACTAACCGGTACAGCCTCATTACTGGTTTCTATGTGATATAACTAACCGGTACAGCCTTATTACTGGTTTCTGTGTAATGTAACTAACCGGTACAGCCTCATTACTGGTTTCTGTTTGATATAACTTACCGGTACAGTCGATCGAAGTGGTAATTACAATGTTAAGTGGTAAGTGTCGTGGTCACCGGTCCTATGTGTAGGTTTACCACCTCTTCGTGTTGGTTTCTGTACACATCGTTTCCTCCTGTAGTCAACCATCCTACTTGGGGTCAGTCGTGTCCGAAAAATGTCGGACGAAGATCTAAGACGGGCTGTGACTGACCCTGCTTCACGGTTAAACAGACATGCCGTGTCTACGTGAGTATAACGTAAACAAAATTAAATTGTCACTAACATCCGCCTAGTCAATAAAAAAATATTCAGTTGAAGATTTACAAGAGTTTGAGAGGCTTTCGGTGTTTTTGAACACAATTTTCTTTATCAAGTCATCGGCACGTGAATATTAATTAAATGTGATCGATTTAGTCTGGTTTATGTGCAGACATACATGTATGTTCAAGATGTATCAATGTACATGTAGTCTAATTTGTGTTAAGAGTTTAAGTTTTGTTTTATGAAGCTGATGTTGAAAGTATTTTTTTAGTCTAAATTGTGTTTACGCAGATGTTGTAGATGTCCTTACTCAGAAGTTTTGTTTTCATTGAGCTGGAGTTGACGAGATATCGATTTAGTCTAAATTGTGTTGAGACTGATATTGTTGATGTTTCGATTGAATCGGTGTTATGTGTTGTTGAAGGTGTATCGATCGGTGTTTTGACTAAAAACTTGAAACAATAACAAGTTTTTTTATATAATTTCTTGTCACTAGCTTTTAGAATTGGCTAATTTTTATTCTACAATGTCCAATTCCTTTGTACCATAACCAATAAAAGGTCCCTTTCGACGTTTTCCTCACCAGAACGTTTCGCCGTCGTAGTTTTGCATACAATGGCACGTCCTTGTTGACGCCTTATGTTTACGTCATTTTTGAAGGTCATGAGGTCAAAGTACCCGGTCACGAGTTCTCTCATAGCCAACGTTATTGCTGTACTACGCACAAGTGATCAATATTCACGTTGAGTAACTGCTTGCCTGAGCGTGATATAAGATACGCTAGATTTGATGGACGCACTCATACACCATGTAACGTAGTGTCTTGTTTCGTGAAGTTACACTCTGTTTTTCATCTGGGATGTTGAATTACATGCAAAATTGTATAAATTTATGACCATCGCGATCCGCTACGCATATCCTTGTCACGTGCTGGGTTTCAAATAATTTCATTATGCAATTAAGTACATGGTATGAACATTTCGCAGACAGCGCATGCCGTTTTACGAGAACATTTTATTTCAGATTCTCAAAAACGTAATTGAATCAGTGAAGTCAAATTTAACCCAATGAAAGACATTCTTTTGTTAGTTATAGGAGAAATTTATAATTCAACTAGACCTAACTAGGCCTACAAAATGTAAATGAATAACGATTTCAAGTTAAAAAAAAAACCACGAAATAAGAAAAAACGATTATCTGAGGAAGTTTAGATTTTAGTGGCGGGGGAGGACACTCCTAAATGTCACTCATTTGCGATTGAAGGGAGGGGCATGCACCCGGACTAAGAGGGTTTCGCGCGTTCGGCGCTCGCACACAGGTCTTTGTAGCAAGAAAAACTACAAAAGAAATTGCAATGTAATTGAAATGTAATATGTCTTCATCTGACGTCACAGATAGTACTAACTTATTGCGCGGACGTTCACATCCAGTCGTGAGTAATTACGCACTATGTGTATTGTATTCCTACTCCCTACCAACGATACGCCGTGTATTAATGTAAGAACAATTATCACGTAAATAACAAAGGTAACGGACAGACTTTGATATTAATTTCATAATGTACCTTTATGTAAGTAACAGACAGATATACAAACGTCATACAGTACATACAAGGTATGAGACAATAGAGGCTGCTAGTGTAAAGGAGAACAACAGGATATTCAGTTAGAAACATCAACATTGTTTCGTCCGTCATTCCATTCTTCCGTCCTTCCTTTCCTCCCTTCTTTTTCCTTCCTTGGCTCCCTCCTCCATTTCTCATTCTCTTTCAGATTCAACGACTGCTTCCTTTATTCTTTCCTCCCTTTTCTCCTCTTTTTTGCCTTCTTTCTCATTATCGAATGGTTGACCGTTGAAAAAGTCAAATCCCACTAATTTTCAATATATGGAGATACCAGGATTGGAAATCGTGCTTTCGACAATAATCGATTTTTTTGGGATACTGTACTAAGTATGCATCAGTAAATTAATTGGCGAGGACTATTTTTATTTATTTTTGTGTGTGTGTAGTACATATGGACATCATGAATGTTGTCATTACACAGTATAACGTGTCACAGGCAGGGAACACAGTATAACGTGTCACAGGCAGGGAACACAGTATAACGTGTCACAGGCAGGGAAGACACTGAATAAACTAAATACGTGAATGTTATACGCACCTGTCATAGTCGGAGAGCAGAAAAAGATACGGCAGGCAATCCGGTCAAGGTAGCATATAGCCTTAAAGGCGACATCGGTTGGGAAATAATCTTCTTGCCCCCGGTGCCCAAACGGAAACCTTTTGTACAAACAGATATCGAGCTAGCGTAAAAAAATAGCGCAGCAATAAAACAATTTGTACGAACATTAACATGAATGTATTGATTTTAAAATAATCCCTGGACCACTATACCACACTAGACAGAAACATCGATGACAAAGCGCTGTAAAAGGGATCAGGAATTGATTCGTCAGCTTATCTGAACGTTACATAACTTAACGGCGTCCCAAGGGGAAACAAACAGAGCAGCACATGGCTGTGACTAATGTAATACCAGAAATGGTCATATCGCTATATATGCTGTATAAATAATTAAAAAATAAATCGGTACAACCATTGTTTTTTCGTCATTTATTCTTGTAAAATTCTTGTAAAATTCTTGTTTAAACTGACTTAATTTTATATTGAGGATCTTTTTCTCATGAGATAATTCTCCCCAACCATCTTTACCCAATTACACACCCACGCACGTGTTCACCTCCTGCCCCTCCCACTTCCACACACAGTCACAAGTGCATGGCAACTTTGTTTTTTAATATTGAAAACATTTATCGTTGGCAACAAGAGATGAACTTCCATTCTCTTTGACAATGTTTTATTGAAAGCAAATGTTTAAGCTTGAGTAGCATGTATAGTTGGAGATAACCGTCTGCATATGACGTTGTCTATGAGAGGGAAATCTGCATCTCGCGTGTTAGTGACGTGTTGGGTGGTGCCAATCTCTGACTCAATATGAGTCAAGGACAAACAAAGAACACGAGTTTGTGACTACATTTGTTGATATCGGAATATACAGACAAACCATCTACAGGAAACGTTCATTATCAAGACAAATTTAAGACGACATTGACAATTGTCCTTTTCTGACATATTTTCCAATAGTGTTTTTTTATGGTTGTCATTTGACAGGTCAAATTCAATTCACACCAGGATTGGACTTTTAAGTGGATTATTCCATATGAAGAAATTCTCTTATATCTGTGACATATGAAGCATAATAAATCTGTGATGTAGTACACAATGTTTCTGAGATTGTTGTGTAATTGTGTTTCCAACAGACATAGCCTTGCCAACGTAGCGGAGGCATGGAAGGGAGTCACCCACGGCAGCAGACGACTCTCTATGACGTCACAGATACGCATGTCTGCCGGAAACGTTCTCGACTACGCGTCCAAAAACGAAACTCTAGAAAGGTAAGTTATAACTAAAGTTTGCGATAACATTGCATTACGGAAAATGCTTTAGCAGAAAATGTTTTGCTGGCTCTGAGTATTATGTTTACCCCTCAGGTAAAAATACATATTTCTCTACATGTATCTCCTTACTCACTGTCGTGTTGATGTAAAATTGCTGTTTTAAAGATAACGTTTCGAATTACGTTTGTCACAAAAGTATACGCACAGGAAAAAGACAATTTGCACAGGACATGAGAGCTTGGTTACTTTGGATAATATATTTTGATAGCTATGAAACATTCCCTATCAAAATAAAAATATATGGTAAAGTTAATTTAGTGTTTTACGTGAGTGTCAAGTGCTGCACCCTGTTTTATCCCGGTTTTTTTAAAAAAGTTCATTTATGTTATGAAAATTAGGTATGTGATCAGTATGCTGTTAAAATAGAAGCCATTGATACACATACGGTGTACTAAATATGGTGTCGTCTCGCGTAGCATACATTTGGTATTTTCCTATATACAGGTAAGGTGTTGGGTGTATGCTAGGTGAGATTGGGTGTCAGTTAGAGAACAATAGGATTTAATTACAGGTAAACTATAGTCTGAACTATAAAGTGTCTTACCATGTGAATATGAACGTATACATAGGATTGATTTTTTGTGTTAAATTTTATTTATTTATAAAATAAATCCAATTCATCTATTATAGTCTTCATCATAATAATAGGGAATTTCAGATTAAATGTCTTAACTTAACACATTATAACAATACAATACAATTTATAAGTAAGTGTAAGTGTCACATATATCGATATACATTAAAACAACAGATTTTACAAAAAGTAAAAGCTATTTCAAAATTCAAATCAATCAGATATCGACATCCAGCCAAATCTGGCTTATGAGACACTAAAAGCCATTATCACACATTAAAATAAGTAAAATCACCAGCAGTGTACATAACTGGTGCCATTGAGCTAAAAAATGGTGGGAATGTTTCGGGGCCTCGAAAGCGTAACTTAGCTATAAATTTGCATTAAAATGCTATTCCTCCTTAATGCCTAAATGGATATTGCAACCAAATATGGTCTGAAATATCATTAGGGGGGNGGGGGGGGGACAATCGTCATGAGGCTGGTTCGAACCCTGGGGGATAGAGAGGGCGGCGCCCCAAGGAAGGATATTACCTAAAATCCTGCTTTTAAACACTACTCGTTAAATGCCAAAAGTAGATTACAACAATTTCAGTATGAAACATCATTTAGAAACAACCATTTCTTATATAAACGAGGCAGGTTTAACCACCATTGACAGCGGGACGGGACCTTAAAAGGAGAAATCTATTCAGATTTAGGTTTAAATGCTTTCTGATAGCTTTACTGCCAAATAGTTACCCACTGCTGACCAAAACTACCATCATGGAAAAACAAATTCTTAGAATATTTCATTGAAAGTTGAAAAGTTACCATCAAAACGTTATAACGGTATATGGTACGAATTGTTTTCTTCAATTTTATCTTACAACGTATATTCCTGTAAAGTAAAGAATACATGTATGTCTCAGTAGATTAAATGCTTCTTTACATTGTTCCTTCAGAATAAAGACATTGTAAGGAATGTACCTTTGTAGTAAATTTGACAATATTGACATTTGTAATATTATGATAAGTGAAAATTATAAAAACAAATCCTATCTACAGTGTATGTCCACACAAAATCAGCTTGAGATTGAAATTCTGCAGACATAACCATAAAAATAAAGGAAAAAAAACAACATTCAGTCAACTGTTATTGTATCGGTTGAAATTTATAGACAATGCATTACAGAATTTTAAACAATCTTTGATATTAAGATTAGTTAATGAGGCTTTACTTGATCAACAATATTTCAGATTTTAATAACATGTAGGCGGCTAGTACTGTATACGTACCTGTTATAATAACTGTAAAATCGTTATTATTTTCATGTAAATAAAGGTATCCTTTCCAGTTTAAAAAAAAATCATATTTCATCTACTACCACGTGTCACTATAGTTCTTTACAAAGAATATCAATGGAATATTTCTCTGATTAAAGTAGACATAAGTTCTTAATAATAATATGTATTACACTACAATCTACATCATTTTGAAACAGACTACATGTATAACCAAATTGTAATCAGGTGTGAAAATTGAAATGTGTGCTAGGTGAGACTAAACCTAAATATAGGACAGTACCTAATTACATGTACCATGTAGTTGTGCATACAGCTGCCTCCCAATCTACCTGGTAAGTGATAATTCATTTCAAAATGATTTTTTTAAATGAGGTCGTATGAAATAAACAAAACAAATAACGTTTTTAGAATTTCGGTAAGGAATTTACTAACACTGTCAGATTCTACAGACAATGTTGAGTACACCGATGCCTGCAAAATCTATGTCAGTTGACAAGATTGTTTCAACTGAAAGTGACGTCAATTATTATTTTGGATGACTCGATATACACACCAAACTACTATGAATAATGAATGTCTAAAAGGTTATAGAGATCGCCATTGTCCCTCCATGCATATTGTTTAATATAAAATATCACACACATTCTCATACTGACTAACGAAATCGTTTTGTTTCTGTAATCGTGCATGCGACTTGGTGTTGTTTTCTTCGCAGTATTCAGATAGCGGTGATACAGCTCTTTCAGCGGAGGAAATTACAGGAGGGAGAGTTAGCCGTACTTCAGGAAACATTGAGGTACTTTTAATTGTTTTTGTAATCAGCTCTCTGTCAAATTATCTAACTCCCAGCAGTTAATACATGAAACTTGCCAGTAATACCAAGGTAATCAAACCCTTGCTAATTAACAAAATTCCTCGCTAATTAACAAACTCGGAACAGACGACATATCGCAAATCCCGTCCAAAGCACTCACCCGGGAATGATTAAGGTTTAACGGCGATAAAAATTGAAAAAGAACATGTTTTATTCTGTTGCTACATTTTTTGTACGTGTAAGAAAGCAATGTTGACGCCAGGAAAGCAATTCGCCCGGGGGACCGGATATATAATACTCTTGTTTATCTTTACACCTGCTATAGATCAAGGCAACACGTTGACATTTAAAATGAATCCTGACTTCGCTGGATGTAAGCAGTAGTTTCACTTAAAAATGACGTTTAAATTCTGTGCTACTTAAAAACAATCAACACGCAGTATGGGTGTGAATTATGGTGGGCATTTTCTCAAACATTACGAACAAATACACAAACACATGTTGATCATGTCTATTCTACCACGTGAAAACGTAATTCAATGTTTTTTCCTGATTTTACATTGGTGCCTTAAAGCCTACATTAACTATATATAGAGCATACGAGTGTTTAAACTACACCTTTCCTTTGCGCGTGCAAACGTTTGATACATGATCCCTCGATTTCATTTCAACAGCAAGTCTTGCACAGCTGATGTTATAACTATATAACTTCTGGACGGTGTAGTAGCTTGGTGAAATGTTATTTATTTTTTTGCTCGAAATTATTATGAGAGAATACTCGTATATTCCTGTTCATTTCATTCGAAAGAGGATAATTGAATTCCAAAATTTATGAAACATAATTTAATTTACATTTTAATGTGTGTTTGCTCTTTGGTAATAAACATAGATCATAATATTATTTAAACTAACGAACGATGTTAATAATTGTCCTGTTTGGGTTTTAAATAGTACTAATTATGTTATTTTCAGAAACCTGATCAGCTCAGACGCCGGACCTCTTATATTTGATTATTATAAAGTAAGTATTTTAAATCAGTAATGCGCCCCCTGTAGGGTCGGGGAAACCACCGACATAGTCTAGCTGTAGCTCTGCATGTTATCAGAAAAGGTGACCACCTCTAAGCCCATGTGTAGAGTCGGGGGTTTCCAATAAACAAAATCTCATTTGCTTTGTCCCTCATTGCTACATTGATCTTTTATTTTTTCTGACCTACTCAACTTGTTTTTCGGTGTTGTCTCCCTTAGCAACCGTCTTCATATATATGAGCTTTTGCGAGGACGTTAAACTCTTAATCAGATCAAACCACATTGTGAGATGGCGCCCCTTTTCTTAATAATGTTTAAACAAGAACAGTTTTGTAGCAGTATATCAGGTTGAAATGTTACCAAGTTGTTATTGAGGTTTGGTTTTGGTTTTCTTTTGTTTAACGTACAATGTACTATTCATAGCTAAGGTCATTTAAGGATGCGCCTCAATGTGTTTTGTGTAAGCGTGCATACATATTGTATGTGTATGTGTGCCGGAGACAGGGTATGTTTGTGTACTTGCCTCCTTGTGATAGCGCGGATCCGATGCCGACTTAATAATGCTATCTCACTGAAATACCATGCCGAAGTCAATCCACTATAAAGATGTATTAAAATATAACTATAAAGATGTATTTAGAGATAAGAAACAAGAGCGTCGATGTCGAAAATGAACATCTTATATATCTACAATTGTTATCGAAAATGAAACATATGTTTCTTTACGTGTGATGTAATACTGTATAAATGCGATTCTTTTTGTTAATGTAAACGCGAAATTTCTTGCGTGTGGAAATCTTCGTTTCGTGACAGTGTGAAATTTTGGGGTTGGCAAAAGATCAGAAATATGTTCTATACTTACAATTGATATTATCGATACAACCAATTCCATGTAGTCGGTCGTCATGTTTTATTCTGTCTATACTTAACTATTTTACATCTTTTAATAATTCTATTAAGTATTTACATATATTTGCGCCGTAATTTAGTAAACGCAAAAAAAGCATACCGCGATAACTTTTGACTTTTACAGTAATATCTTTGGGAAAACCAGAGTGCAGATATCCGAGGTTTAAAAGAACTGTACTTTTGCAGTATACGTTTATCGATCTGAGTGCCAATTGCATTGGTGTTCGTTATAAGCAACACATATAAAGAAAAAAAGATTACAGAAAAACAACTTTCGTCTTTTGACCTTAGATTCCCCCACATCTCCTTCGTGCAACGCCGGTATGACCATTGACTTTATAATAGTACAAAGAGATTTGTTAGAAACGTGGGCTAATGACAGAGACGCTACGCAAATGTCAGACGAAACACAATAATCTTCTTAAGTTGATAAGAAAGGGAGGACAGATTTTTTTTGTGACGTTAGCAAAATGCCTGTTGTTAGGATACAAACGGTTTTGCTAAGTTTCCTAAAGCCTGGTTAGCTTTGTTACAAAATTTTATTATCTAATAGCAGTAGGATTTTTTTTTTATTTTTTTTTTGTCTTTTTTTTTTTACAGTATGGTGTATACCTGGCTTCGAAATGATGAACCCATAATGAAAAAGTTATACATCATTTTGAATTATGGGTTATGTTTTTTATAGAAATTGGGGGAAAATGAATCAATAGGGTTCAAAATGAAATAGCTGAATTACTTGCTTATCTTGTATAAAAGATTATTATGTAAGTTAAATTACAATTAAGGACAGTTAGTTTTGATATGACAAAAAACTGCATTAATTTTGTGTTTCTGAAATGTTTGCTTTCTATCTACTTTGGGAGATTTATAAACCGCTGACTAGGCTATCGATTTCCCCTGCCCGAGAGAATCTTATTACCGATACTCAAACACAGCCGAACCTACATACACATTTGGACAGTTTGCTGGGATTACTCAATACGATCCCGTGTTCACCATAAAGTAGACTTGTTTTGAAAGGTTTGTCATTGACATCGGTCTAGAACTAGCAACAGTGTTCGGAAAATCGATCAACGTAATACACACCTAATTCCACATGGAACATGTTGCCAAGTTAAAAGGTCGTATTTGATGCTATTTTCCCAGTATGCATCCGACCTTACATTGATTACCGATACGTTCGGTTGTATGTGTTATATCATCCTCACAACAGGTTCAAAGGTTAAATTAAGACGGAAGTGCCACTGATAGGTCAATTTAAAGCATCATCCCACTGAAATGTCATGACCTGAACACGATAACATAACACTCGTATTCGGTCACGTTATACTAATAAGGGGCTAACCATTTTTTACCTCCAACTTGTTAAAGTATGAAGAGACCAGCTAAAATCAATAAGTCACTCCTTGTTTGTCACAGTTAGGGGACAGAACGTAGGACCCCCCTTGCTGAGATGAAACGAAAGAAGCTAGTTGATAAAAAGGAAAATAAAACGAACCAAAATGTTGCGATGTCTTTCAGTAGGTAACAAAGTTCTATTTTCCCCACCGTAACGCAAATTGACAGAGTACACTGACATTCAATGTGTGTGTCACTTGCCAATCACTTGCAGCAAACTTGCAAAAACAGCAGCAAAATGTTTGTAGTTTACAATTTGGAGAGAATGGGCAAGTAAATGCTCACCATAATGATCTTATTTGGAAGTATATTTTTTGTGGTCGTCATCGGGATTTCGCGGGAAGTTTTGTATGACTTCTTTTTGTGATGTGAAGGCTTTTGTTGCACTATTTGGGATTCTTTGTTGTATTGTTGTCACCTACCGGGCTCTTGACGTGAGGGCGTGACATTGCTGGGATTCGCATGGCGGGTGTCGTCGATGTTGCGGGGGACGCTTGCCATTCCGGAGCGCCTGGTCTTGTGCTCCGTGTGGGTTTCCGGGTGTTTCCGTGGGATCTTTTCTTCGTTCATATTTCACCCTGTTTTTTTGTGGAATTCGTGTTTGGGTTGTGGTTTTATTGACACTTCAACATTCTCTTTATTTTGCGCTTAAACTACTCTTGTCTTTTATTATACTCATTTGTGTGTCTTGTCTTGTTGATTAACATGATGTGTGTCGTCGATGTAGCATAAGACGCTTACCCTTCCGAAATATCTGTACTTATATTCCTTGTACTTTTTAAAGGGTCTCCATGTAAATGATTTCGTGTTCATGTTGCGGTTTTGTACTCTGTGACAATCTTTCGATGTTTTCTTTTTTTCAAACTTTCAAAACTGACAAATTTAAATCTGGTAATTGAAACAACAAGTTCTGTTGTAAAAATCATTTCATGATTATTTATTTTTTTATTGTTTAGGATTTTTATTCCATAAGTTATTAATAGAATTGCATCTTCGAAAGAAAATGACAAGATGGTGGGAAGGGAGAATGGGGGCTTGGCGTTCATGGTGTTTATAAAATGTATTGTTCTATATATGGAAACATCGATTTATATACTCCTGCTCCTCATCAACAGGATTAGGGACACGTTGACACAAAGCTGTCTGATCTAATTGAAGAGACAAATTATTGAAGCTTGGGTTGGAGAATGAAACGTTTGATCGAGCGGGCTCCGATTTCCCATCATCGGTCGATGTCAAACCAATTGTTTACGTCATCGAACCACAGGTAAAACTAAAATCGTTTTAATACGTTTTTCAACGGACTTCATTGACATTTGCTTTCATTGCAGGACAAATTATTGAAGAAAGGAATGGTGATTCTACGGGAGGGAATGAAGAATGATTTAGGTAAGAAATGTAACGACACCAATCGGTGAAGATTTCCAATTACAAAAGAAGCGTTATCGTGTTTTTACCATACGCATGTTGGTAACCTGTAACTGAATACACACACAAGTAATTACAACATGGAATGAGTTACACCTTTAAGAAAATAAAGATAGAAATAACAATTCCTTATTTTAAAGAAAACCTTTTAATGTAGAAAAAAAATCAGTTTTTAATTTTTGCGTTTTTCGTAGTAACAACCTTTCTGCAAAAATACATCCCACGAATTTAATAGTTACTGAATCCCCCTTAACAATAGTTTTACATGTCATAATCATTATACTTGATTCCCGGGGGAAATATAACCCTCGAAATTGAGCATTTTAGTAAATCCGTGCAAATTAAGGACAGACAGAAAGACATTTGTCAGTAATCAATATGTCATGGTTTTACCGTAAATCAAGCCATATTTTCGTTTTCAAAGTAGAACAACTGTATGCATAAATGAATTACAGAAATAGCAAATAATCAAAGGTGGATAATCAAAGCTTGATCATCCTTATTTTCAGCTATTCATATTTCATTTAAGGGTTAAATAAAATGATAAAATGGAGAGCTGTTTACAGGGTTATCCTGCTTTGTATGAAAAAAGAGACCGCTTCTTGTCGCTGCATATTTGGTTTCATATTAAATTTGAATTGCTTTCTTTAATGTTGATATATTAGAAATTGGCGAAAAGCCAACGCTAGGCGACAAGGCAAAATGATATTTACTTTCTCTGAACACCAATCTAAACTACAAATATTGCCAGTGTACAAGTGAGAACGCTGTAGGAATCGTTCAAATAAAGCCGACCACGCAACATGCACGTGCCATACAAACGACTTCACGTAATGTTGTACAGGATTGTTCATTGCCTTTTTATGTACATCTTGGACTGATGCTAGTCGGCTACGCAACCTGATTTCCTGTTCTATAATGTTTGGGAATAATGTTCTTTCGGAACCTGTCAGTTTAGCAATTTTAATATATCGATTCCATTGTTTATGGACTTAAAGATGTCTGGTTAACGTTTATGTTCAGTCCGAACAGCTGTTTTATTGTTATAACTGAAAGACATACAGGAAACTGTTTGCCTGTGTGTTGTCAACGAGTATGTTACATGCTTGATGGTCATAGAATGTCCTAATTATAATCAGGATTGTGATGGGACATCCACCGATACTAGTAAATACGATGCACAAAGTCAAAAGTGTTCTAATGTCAGCGAACTTTAAGACACTGCCAGTTGTGTTTCTCAATGATAATATTTGTCGATGCATTCTCTTCTTCTCTTTATATTATACTGCTCTGATTATATCTAGTAATTTTTTAAGCAGTGGCGTTTATGTTATAGTGCAGATATATCAATAGTAGTCAATACTAAGTGCATGTACATGTATTTATTATATTTGACAGCAGCCATTTATTCATTACTCTACTCGTCTTGTCTGAGACATTTCTTGATAACGACTTTCGAACGTTCATATCACGTAGTTGAATTAACAGTGATCTTATTCTGTCTTAAACCTACATAATACTAGTACTGCGACATTAATTTCTGTTTCAAAATCTCCATTAAAAAATGTTTATTCTTTAATAAAGCTATTTTGTACTAGGTCGATTTCAGATTTATTTTTAACACATATGTAACCATATGGAATATTAGAAAAAAAATATTACTTTCCTGTAAGGGATCTCATTCAAATACTGGGTAGTTGTTTCAAGTAGTAAATAGTCTTAAAGCATAACTGTTGCAATGCTTTTATACCATTACACATTCTTATTTATTCAATATTCATATGCTGCATACACACGATTTTATAATACTTATACAAATGGCTAAGATGGATAGATTTCAGTCAAAATACTCTTAAATCAATACATCATAAAGTTAAAAGTTAAAGATAGTTTCCAATACAGGTGCCGATAGAGCTCCTCTTCACTGGACTCAAAAATTAAACAATTGTATAAAATTAAGTTAAAGTTCATTGTTATCTAAATTTACCCTATAATTTTGATAAAACTCTTCATTCTGCCAAAGTCCATCTATTCTGTTCTTAAAATTATTGATATTTGGAGCGGATACAACGTCCTCCGGAAGGTTGTTCCATACGTCATACGTCATGAATTACTTTATAGCAGGCTCTTTAATTTCTAGGTTCTGTGTTATTAAAGAAGATGGGCGAACAGTGGTCGTATCTTCATGCCGAGATCCTCCCAACGTTACAAGCTTTGTTTTATCCACTTCCTGTAAGTAATGTCACTCCAATGCTATCCATCTGATCCTTCTCATTATACATTACTACAGGAGCCTAACAATCAATCGTACATCTGGCAGTCACCTCGTTGCCATGGCAGTAAATTATACATAGTTTGACACCCTATAAGCGTTCACACACTTGCTAGACAATACTTGATCGTTAATGGGGATATTCAGTGATTGCAATACTTCATTTATGTATTTATTTATTGATTATTTCTTTTATCTAATTTTTTTTTTTTTTGATTATTTATCTATTTGTTTATCAAATTGCGTTTTGATGAATCAGTAAACTTACATCTAAAGTAATCATCCTATATCACTTTGTCATTTGTCATATAACGGTACGCGATGAACAGTTGTTTTTAACACCTACATCCTCTGACATGGATATGGTTTTATTGTTTTTTTATATTACAGACCAATGATTCCTCTATACGAAAAGTGACATTTCTAGAATTCCGAGACGTGGTCGTCCTTAAAGTCGGCATAGAAGGTAAACACCGCATCACGTGACAGTCAACTGTTAGCACGTTTTTACTTGTCATGACACGCCCACTTGTATTGTTTAATCAGATATCAAGATATCAAAATGACAGCATCGGGTGTCACTCAAGTCGAAGTAAACCATAAACAAATTGTATGATTTTATCATGCATAGCATTGTCCTTGTCTGTCGATACAAGAGTGATTTAGTACGCATAGTTACATGGTTAGGTAACGCATGTAAGGATACTTCTATCAAAATTTTAGTTTGTCGGATCAGTTAAGCTCATTCGTGCTAATGATATTAGACTAGGAATCTTTCAAATCGTCTATATCATTTGATATAGATGATATATTAGATATACATCATATTATATATAATTATTGTATATGATCATATTTTGCAAATTTATTTTTACGAATAATAGCTACAATTTATGGATCGTTCAGCATTTTCATATCAAACATTTTGTACGATACAGGAAGTCAGTATCCCTATTGAATTCCGTCATTCTTAGACTATACTAAAGAACCTTTTTACAAAATGACCCCGGTGAAATATCGTTATGTCAAGCAGATGTATATCGTCTCATCGTATATCATCTCATCTCATTGCAACTCACTAAAATGGACATCAGATGCAATAAACTAGTCGGGACACGTATAGCAGTGTCCCCGGTCGCGACCAGACGAAATATTTATTCATGAGCATATGCATGTCATAAATAACAAAACATTATGTATCGTCCTTAACAGTACCGCCAAATGCTTATTCTATATCTACGGGTTTTATTGGTTGATTTGTATATAAATTGCTGTAGAGATTTTTTGCCGCATAAAAAACGAATCAACAATGTATTTGATGTGCAAACCTTTGCTACATATATCTATGTGATATATGGCCTCGATGCAGTATACACAGCATGAAAGGTAATTTTTTTCTGCATTTTATAAACTGGCAGACATATTAGAGGCAACTTGAATATGAAGACGGGTAAATCAAATGCATGTCATATTGTAACCAGTATCTGTACACACCTAGACAAAGACACACGGAACATAATTATGTATATCACCGAAACATTTTCTATATACATGTACTCACATCGTACTGTTTAATGGACAATCCAATATCTTTACTATTCGTTGAACTTTAATGATATTTAATGTAATGTGCATTGAAAACTTGATAAATGTAACTGTTATTAAGTAAGACTTGGATCACGTACTTGATAAAGACAAATACATTCGGCATGTTATGTTTCTAGTTTTATTGTACCAGGAAAGTTAAAAGGAAAAAAAAGGAAAAAACCATCTTTAATGCAAGAAATATATCTTTCTCACTCAGAAAACTACCAACACGAGCTACTAAAACCCTGTAATTTTGTACATTTCAGAGTCTATAGGATCTGTTTTATCGGATGAAGTTCCTGCCTCAATACGACAGATGCTTTTAGTTTTACTGGTAAGTAAGACCATAAAGAACGTGCCATACATAAACTGGTTGATCAGTTGGGCATCCCAGTAATACAGTAATACAGTGTTACAGTAATACAGTAATACAGTAATCCAGTAATACAGTAATCCAGTAGTACAGTAATACAGTAATACAGTGTTACAGTAATACAGTAATACATTAATACAGTGATCCAGTAAAACAGTAATCCAGTAATCCAGTAATACAGTAGTACAGTAATACAGTGTTACAGTAATACAGTAATACAGTAATACAGTAATACGGTAATACAGTAATACAGTAATACATTAATACAGTAATCCAGTAATCCAGTAATACAGTAATACAGTAAACCAGTAATACAGTAATACAGTAATACAGTAATACAGTAATACGGTAATACAGTAATACAGTAATACATTAATACAGTAATACAGTAATCCAGTAATACAGTAATACAGTAAACCAGTAATCCAGTAATACAGTAATACAGTAATACAGTAATACAGTAATGTATCTGTCAATATGTTTACCACACATCATCTTCATTACTCTTAAAAAACGTGAAGTCATATAATTATCATATGATATCACCTTCATCTGACATCGTCATCATCCTCTGACACGATCATCATCATCATCACCATCATCATTATCACTATCATCATTATCACTATCATAATCATATCTATCATATCTGGCATTATCATCTGACATTTATGATCAAACTTACATTTAAACTCTTAAACTTGTGTTTAGACTTTTATACCGAGACACTGATGCAAAAACACTGTAATACATGTAATGAACGTAGACACATAAGTGACATTTTTCGTATTTTAGGAATTTTAAGGATACAATGTATATTCAACATTTAACATAAAACTACTTAAAATCGTTTTTGAATTATGGTATCCCGAGCATATGAACCTACACGGTTAATATTCCCAGTAAGGACTATATTTCTATTTCAAAATATTCATCATCAAGTTATTATCATATAAGAATTTGGAGGACATACACAAACAATATTAAGTGATATTTTATCAGTTAATTCAATGGTTTGAAAATTTCAACGACAGTTGATATATATTACTCTTGATGTGTTGTGAGTTATCCCTTGTCGTGTATGCTTCCTAGCTAGAGTGTACACAGATTAAAGATACATGTAAGCTTAAACGTTCATCATAATTTATTTAAAGAGTGTGCACGACGGCTCACCACCTACGGAGAACTACGCTAGACTGGAACGCTTGGCTGCCAGAGTGATCTCCCCTTATCTAGGATTCTTCGGTCTCTATGAAGGCTCGTGCACTCCGACCGTCAAGTCATCCTTAAAGCCAGCGTCTAAACTGGTTCCCGCAGGTAGTGTTACTATGTTGTTTTTTCTCAGATACTATTAGTCTCAAAGTGTCATTCCAAATGTTCGTGGTTTTAAATACGGTAGACTATCAGCATATTGTTAGGTCCGTTTAACGGACCCATTCCCTGTTAAAAAGTGCGCGGTGGTTTTGTCTCCCCTACCGATTTGCCCTTATGAAAGTCTCATTTGAGAAATCGTAAACAAAACATGCATCAATTCAAATAAATTCCTCATCTTTGATGCGGCTTTGTTTATTTTTATTTTGTTTAACGTCCTATTGACAGCTAAGGTCATTTAAGGACCTGCCTCCATGTTTGTAGTGTATGCGTGCTTGCGTGTGTGTATGTGTGCCTGCCTCCTTGTGATAGCGCGGATCTGATGCCGACTTTATAGTGCTTTCTCACGGAAATGCCATGCGGCTTTGTAGGAAGGACAGAATGGTCATATTGTCATATACGTCAAATAGTCAAATTTCATGTATTCAGAGGTGTTATAATGATCATATAAATTTCTCAAAATGTTTCTTATGTCGATGTTTTTCCCCAATTTCATTCAAGTATGCGTTTCATAAACAAATCCCATGATAACTTCCTGAAATACCTAATTGTGCCTAACACTGACTTCTGTAACGTGAATAGATAAGAACAGGAAATATCGCTCAACTATCTGTATCTGTTCAGTGAATGTAACACAACAGAACAAACACAACGGACTTACTTGCTTTTATGCAGTTTGTTGCAATCAAAACACTTGAAATGTATAGTTTTTTTTACACAACTACGTTTGTGATTTCTTTGGACATGATCGGTTATTCATTATTCATATATTTTGTTATCGAAGGTTTCTAAAAAGTTCTGGCGTATTCAAATGACAAATTGTCGTTCCCTTAGTCAGTTGTTATTAAGCCCGCTGACACGCATACGGATGACACACATTACTCATGTCAAGTCATGACCCTTTTTGTAAACAAAAACTTACATTTGACTTTTATTTTGTTACAGAAAAAACGGAAGCATACGACCTTGATACACGATCTTCCCGGCCAAAGTCTGCAAACATTCCATCCCTGAAATCACCGCATAGTAGGTTGGGAAACGGACACAATCTATTCAGCAATCATTTTCTTGCGCCGGTCCGGGAACATGACAGTATAGGCGGAAGACGTCATAGTATACAGACGTGACGTCAGTGATGTAATAGTGACTTCATAGAACATTGTCACTACGTCAGTGAATTGATAATAATGTCATAGAATCGAACGTTATATCTGTGATTGTATAGTGTGCAAAAGCATACTGATGTGACATGACATCATTTGTGATTTTCATGACGTCATATTAGACATACGTCAAAATGGTGATTTGATATAGAGATTTATATCATGCAAATGATAACGTCGTGGAAAACGGTTTCATTTCCATATTGTGAGGACACCCACGACAATGCTGGGCGATACACTATCGACTCTGACCATCCTAAAGTTAAAATCCAAGGGAAGGTGTCACAGATTGGTTAATGCGACAATTGTGATTGGTGAATTAAACAGTATTATACGATGGTACATCCCTCATGTCAGTGTTACGCGATCAGTACCATATACAAGAGTTGATGACGTGCCAAATAAAATGGATCAGAATGCTTTTCAACTGGTTAAGCGATATATTTCGTTACGACGATATAACTACTGTAACTGCAGTGAGTGTCTGTATCATTTCCTGTGGCTGATGTATATATACCACATTCCAAAATAGTCGTCAAACGTATATCCTTGAATTAACTGGCTAATTGGTAACCAACGTTATTTATTTCTGTTTAAGTGCAAGGTCGAGCAATTTAACTTACTGTGTATAGATGCGTGAATGATATAAATATGCATGCTGTATATCAAATCAAATTGCAATGATATTAGACATAAAACAATGGCTGTCACGACATTCCAAGTGTGGAGGAAACGAGTCAATATCACTATATCGTCCATGGAAAGCATTCAAATATCAGTACAGTATAAATCAGTCTATTTCCTTCGTGACCGGTGGCTTGCGCTGTTTATCGAACTCAGAGGAAAAGAGGCGATTCTCTTGAAGTGAGTACAGCAAAGAAGAACAGGAAAACTAATTGGTAAACTTTAATTCCTTCCACTCGCCTTGATTACGAGAAAGGGTTATTTGATGTAACGGAAACTATTAACAACAATGCACCATTTGGAAAGTTGATTTGTTGATACGTTTGTAATGTGTTATGGAAGTGTTACTGTTAGGATGTTGTACAAACACAAGTAAATTTGATTAAGTCTATCATTCCAGTGAAGATACACTTAACTGTACGTTTGTGAGAGTGAGAGACAATATGTTGACCAGACGGGTAAAGTGTTTTAAATATTAGAATTGTTCGTGCTTCATTCCTCTACAAAATATAGTACTTGTCTATGGAATGGTAAACAGAGAGAAATTGTGATATGTATGTGGAATTTGTGTCAACTTGACATGTTTACGTCTGTTGCTGAGTCCATCAAACCATACAGTGCCATCATAAAATCTTTAAAATTCCGTTACCAATTATATGTGATAGCCACATTAGTATTGCTGTAGCATATATGTCAATTTCTGTACAATATATTTTGTCGTGTGGTTTTAACTAAGCTAATAAATGTAGCAATCCTTGATGTAATATGTGTATGTCAAGAACAATAATAACCCGTTTCGTTAGATATTTCCGTGATAAATGTCGAATTCTCACAAAAAAAAATACCCACACAGTTTCAAGAAATGGAGGTTGTCAAAAACCATGTACAAGTATTAATTCATATAGGAAAATTTCTGTTTCCTTGGGATGATTTTTATCATGATTATGAGTGTGTCATGTGGTTTTGTTGACACTTCCCCGGTTCTCATTTACAGGACGTTACATCACTAGAATTTGACTTAGTTTAACATAGAGTTTGTCGTGAGTAAGACAAAAGATGTGTACCCTCCGGAATACCTGGTCTTATTCTCCTAGTATTTTGTTCAAAGATGTCTGAAAAAATCTTTGCCCGTGTGTCATTGAGTTTTAGTTCGATGACAGTTTCGTACAAATCAAACTCTTACTTTTTGTTCCCTTATATTTCACTTTTTATTGAGGTATCAATATATTTGTTTATTTATTTAAACCTCTTTCTTGATATTAAACATTTGCGAAATTGAATTGGCCCATATTTATAAAGGCGAGTAAATCCAGCCGCCGCAACAACTACAAACAGATACTAAACATTATATCATTAATTTTAAGTTTACTTTCCTATCCAGAAATGACAAAAATTGAAACGTTGTCGCATTTGATACATTATGCTGCTTTTTATAAAAGTTATTGTTGATTACCGAATGACAATATTGTTTGAACCTAATAAGATATCGCCTCTGAGTACTTCTTTTGCAATTACAACGGCATAACCATTCACGAGAAGGTCTATCCTGACAGGCTGTGATTCTCTTAATAGGTTTAGTATTTCTAACACATTGATCACTTGTTTACTTTCAATATGCAATCTGTCACACGGGTCTCAAAATTAAGTAACAATATTTTTATATGAACAATCATTTATTGTGAAAAACATTTCAATCCATTAAAACGTTTTAGTAGATTTCGGATTATATGTACTCATGTTTATTAATGCTCATCTTACTGCATTAACACTGAAATTACTATAGACAAGCTAACGTTTTGCAAACTTTCCTTACATTACGAAATTCCTTACCTGAAATATTGTTGAAAGGAAATTGATTTGGTTATTAAAAAATAAGGGAAAACTTCTTTAACTTCATTAATGTTTTCCTTAAGTTACTGAATCCTGGTGAAATTAAGGGCTGCTTCTTTTAACAATAAATAAGAAAAGCCGGTAAGTTGTTTATGATAAATGATTGGAGTTTTGATGATATTAGGCTTATTTTACATTGTATGAAACAAGCAATTATCCCGTTTTCTGATAGTGTGCCATCAGTGTTTTCATATCGAAATGATTTCCTATAGACTTAATGTATTTATAACGTCTTGGCTTTGCTGTGTGATTTCAACCAACGTTGTATCATTGAGATAAGAAAAAAATCTTAACTCGCATAAGAAAACCACCCTATATATATCCAGGTATATGCAAGTCCAGGAATTTGGAGTAAGGTTTCCAATTGTTAAGGGATGTCTTTCCTATTCCTTGCGCCAAAGGCGCAAATTGGGGCCGAAGGTGCTGACTGATGTGTAAATATTGAAGAGAATAAATAACGGATATTTATTCTGTTTCCTGCAATATTAAAACAATTAATTTTAGATCCCAAACAAAATGTGTACCTCTTTCCCCTTTTAATAATGTATAACAGTTTCGGGGAGTATGCATTAATAAAAAAAGAACATGAGGTGTAGTTCCCTCCAACCCCTACTCCCTCTTTGTATGAATGTAAAGGAAATATCATTTTAACTTGAAAATAAGTGTATGCCTGTATACAATTAAGTGGTACATGTAGGCCTTTCCTTAGGCGACGTTTTGGCAACCAATGTGTACAGTATATATATTAACTTTATTTCCTTTTACAGTAATTATGCAACAAGTTATCAAAACTTATATTAATCACCCTTGCTGGCCCGAATGTTAACACCGAATGTGTACGTTACAGTGAGGGGATTTCTGTATTACATTATATTATGCTGGAGTTGCATTTTAACAGCCATCAACAATCTATCATAAAGGAAGCATATGTTACGATTCACACTCTTAAAACCCAGAAGCAGACTCTATGTGTACATGTACGACATATGTGTTGCAAGTGTGTTTATAAAACCATGACATTGTAAAATTGTGTGGGGTGTGTTTAGTTTGTTGGTGTAATCGTCGTTAAGTTGTGTAGTTTATTAAACATAAAAAAAATGTTATGGCAGCTATTAAATTGCTACGTTTTGAAAAAATAATTATTTTGTTAATAAACATGTTTGGAACATTTATTTCGTGTTTTTCTTCATTTCAATTACATGTACATATGTATGAAGAGGTTCAATCAGATTCAAGCAAATTACACAACTGGTCCAATCGAACGAGGCTATGTGATTTCACCTCGTCCGTTTTTCGTTCCGTCCGTTCGTCTATCTGTCCGGCCGACCTCTATATTTGTTCGGAACAAGTGTTCCGTCTCATTTTACTTATAATTAGGCCTTTCTCACTTCGGGGTAGACCTAGCACGGAGCCTGGAGACAGAGACCTAGACAAGCAAATACAGAATTTTACCAGAGTGACAGGGATCGCATATACATTTGTAGATTAAATTTACCATCAACAAACTTCATAGGACACGATATTTCCATGTTACGAAAGAAATGTTTAACGCTTACACAGTGGCTTTTTATGATAGCGTTACGCTGAAGGTATTTGTTCTACACATTTTCGTGGTTGGACATTAGGACGTGTATTAGCATCCCTTCGTGGCAAAGTAACGTTTATGAATGTTCCTTCGTAACAGTAATATGATGGCGACGAACCAACCTTTTTCATTCTGTGAGCTACACTATTAGCCATAAAAGAAGTCTGTATTAACAGATGTTCTGTTTTAATCTCCTAAACAAAAACAACAGAAGAAAGTCGAAATTTATTCAGTTTTCTTCTATTTTTGACTTCGTTTATATCGACAGCTTTCATGGAACAACCAAAAAATTTAAGTTAAAAATAATTGTATGCTATTCTTAGAAGACTGTTCTAGTGATCTTTTCAGAGAAGTGAATTATTTTCGGATTTCTATACTACTGCAATCAACTCTAGCATGCACCGAGTCTTTGTCTTCAGTATAAACCGTAATTTAGAAGAAGAAAAAAATCTGAAAAACACCCCCAGTAAGGTGAGATCAGCCAAGAGAAGTTTATCAGTTGTACATGTAATGAAAACCAGGGGATTTAACTATAGGCAAGATACACTAAAAGATCGTTCTCTTGTGTTTTGTCACAAGCAGGGGGACAGAAATCCTGAGTACAGATGAAATGAAAAACAATTTTGAGATGTTCCCTGATTTTACTACTCTCAGTGTCCGTCTCTGGCTCCATGCTAGGTCTGCCTCTAAATGAGAAATGTCTAACACCAGTCATGTCAATACGTTTTGCGATGGCTGAGAGTAGCATACTAAACGTGGGTCACTGTGACCGTTACCGGGCATTTGACCTCTATCAAATGTAACGAACATCTTGAACAACCTGTCTTGGATAGCTGTATATTCTACGCCGACTGAATGATAAATACAAATGTTAAATCATTGAAACCAAATCCTTCATTTTTTTATTTCCTTTCGAGGGTTTATTGACAGATAATAAGAATTTAATGAGAGCATAAATAACGTGTTTTGTAATTCCTCAGATTTCCAGACATATAAAATGAAAACATTATTTGACAAAGTGAAATTTGCTTAGCCTATATTTCCTCATTAAGAACATTTACCTGAATTAAAAGTCATTTATGTAGTAATGTACCCTACTGCTGGAGGGGGATCACGAATTGTAAACGATAATTTTCCTTGTGTTAATGTGGTCACCGATAAATATTTCAGGACCTTAATTTGCTCTCTAAATACTTCGTAATGATTGTTTTCATTGTACAACATTCGTTAATCAACAAGCGGTCTCTCAATGAGTCGTTTTGAATTCAACAGGCGATCTCTAAATGAGTCGTTTTGGTTGTTTTCAACGTACAACATTCCTCAATCAACAGGCGGTCTCTAAATGAGTCGTTTTGGTTGTTTTCAACGTACAACATTCCTCACTCAACAGGCGTTCTCTAAATGAGTCGTTTTGATTGTTTTCAACGTACAACATTCGTCAGTCAACATGCGATCTCTAAATGAGTCGTTATGATGGTTTTCAATGTGAATCATTTGTTAGTCAACTAGTGAATTATTCTATAAACAGTTTCCTTGAACGAGTCATAACGAAGGAAATCATGACGATACAGAAACTATTAACAGGATGAGTACATGTAAGTGCTACACACAATCATACTTCACAATGCCGGAACAGGGATGTTTTTTTTGGGTTTTTTTTATTGTTGTTATTCTCTTTTTTGGGGGGGGGGGGGTCTAACAGAATCGATAGTTTGGGTTCATTTTGCCTAGTAAGCAAACAAATGACCATATCCTTTGTCGAACACTTTTTTATTCATCCACAAAAGCATCAATATCAATGCTTTCTCCATTTTGATATACATACAGATTGGTGTTTTATTTGGTTTTCCCGAAAAAGATGGGGGAAAAATAAAATAAAAATACATTTTCTTGCCTTATTTATTTGAGTACAAAACTTATGACGTTGTAAATTATCAGTGTGTCTTACATGACATTGTACAAGTTGTATATTTATTTTAAATGCAAATGTATAGATTTATTTATCTCAAAAGCATTAGTCCAAATGTTTATATAATGATATACACAAGCGATAGTATTTTCCTTAATTAATAGTTAAGCGAACTTTGATTAAAAATGGCTAGTATCTGGTTATGAAGCATATGTATGAATTGAAATAATATATAAATTTAAATTAGGTATGATTTGAAGATTTGTAAATAAATTTTAAATCAAACTGAGGTTTAAGATTGTATTCAATTCATATTTGTTTACAATTTCAGAGCGACAGACTTGACACATGTTTGCAACAAAATCAATCAAAATTGAAAAATAAATCAATCGATAAAAACATGAAGAAGTATATACATAAGTACTTAGTTAAATCTCCATATATCTAAGTTAATTTATAGAAAAGTTGGAATAACCAAATGGAATAACCTTCCCATTAAAACACAATTATTATAATGTTAACTGTAGGTGCATCATCAAAACAAATTAATATACAATAAGTACATGTATGTTGCATTCATGAATTGTACATGTAAGCCATGTGACGTCAGTTTATCTTGCAATTCAACTGCTGATTGGGCAGGCATCTATTTGCTGGTTGAACGTTGAAGCAGCACATAAACACACATTAGACAATTCTAATCGGTTGAAGGCCGTACAAACTTGCCAATAAAAAGGATAGTTCCTGAAGTGACGTCACGGATGACGAACAGGAAGGGGCGATCTGCTACGAACTGTAGCGGCATACTCATCATACGGATCATTACGCCGGTCGCCGCGGCAGCTTCGGTTCCCTCCTCATTCACTTCAACAAACGCCTTGTGAACCACGTCACTGATGTGTGCATCCATAGGGGGTGAATCGAACATCCCGCTTAGATCGGCATCTTTCGCCGAAAACACGTCACGGATTCCGAGTTTCGAAAGAACGCTCTTGAGGTCAAATTTCGCCTCAATCTTAAATTTCGGCAAAGCTACCTCAACTTTCTGTTGTCGCATTTCTTTAATGATTTCTGTGATCATCGTTAAGGAAATGTTTTCATCAATGTTTGAAAGTCCATCAACTGAATTTGGCAAAATGATCACCATGGTCCTATATTTGCCCTGATAAGCCAACTCGACGGCTGTACAGTCATATTTTTTACTCCATCCGAATGGAATATTCTGTTCACTCGCTTGCATCATGTCCACGTTCACTGCCTCTGTAAGGCTAACGCGGAAGTCTCGCTTTGCTGTCGCAGCCGGGGGAAACTTTGTTTCCCAGCTTCCTTTAAAGTAAATGGCGTTGGCAAGAATAATCAAAGAAAGGCCGCTGATAGTACCTGCGGGAATCAAATCTTGTATTCTGTTGTTGGTCTGTGCTTCAACCCAAGCGTTGATTGTCTTCCTAGAACCTTCTGGATCACCGCCGAAATTCAGTAATTCCATTTCGCTTCCATAATACAGCTTCGAGTTTTCTGTATAATCTGCTTTCAACTGTAATCCCTTCTTTGAAAATATTCTATTTGCAATACTCAAAACATCACTTCCGGTTTTATTAAGTTCCGTGTGAAGCTTTCGGTATTCCTCGTGGATGTTCCCGGTCGGAACGTCACTCAAACGAAGTGCTTCCATAATCTGTCTTCTGGACGTTCCTTCTGTTCCGAGCATCGACAGCATCATGGCTGCCGAAACGCTGTATGGAGATATCACGGCATTGTTGGGCTTTCCAGCACAAAACTCCCTGTAAAGGTCACAGGTAAATTCATTGACTCCATCACTGTATGACGTAAGCATTATTCTCGGTAGCTGCTGCTGCTGCTGCTGCTGCTGCTGAACTTCCATAGTCGTTCTTAACATATATCGCTCAGTAGATCACAGTTTAAAGTCCTGGTGTCTCTCCGAAGGATAACGTATCAACAAATACACACCAACCAACAAAGTGTGTGTTTTCCCACAGTAAACCTAAGAGTACTTGAAATAGTTATATATCACGTGCACTTGTTTTTGCCTTGTGTACAGGATGTTTGTACATACTTAGTTAACAACCCTCGTAAATTGTCAGGTGACTTACTCAATCAAGGTCACAAGTTGAGCCTCACAGGTTGCGCCCAATCATTAGCTTTGATAACTTTCCATCCCCTGCTTTTGGGAAAGTTATCTACCTTCAGGGTAATACACAGTCACTAAAATATACACAGGCCCACAAAGCTGCATAGAATGTTTAGAAACCGCTGGAGCAGAACACATGAATCGAGCGACCTTGACTCACGCCTACCTGAATGACACACCCGTGTACATTAAGCTATACACACACACACACAAAGACGAAATGCATGTAGATTTAAAGGCGTAAATCAATAAACTTTCTCAATCTGTGTGAACTAGTTGAAATACTGTTGAAACACACGTTACGTGTAGCGCTGGATAGTATATAGTAGTATGTTGCATCGCTATCGAGGTATTTAAACCCTAAACTTTGACAGATTTTGGTCAAACTTTATACAAAGGTCAAATATGGGTATACCTCATTCACATTATATAGCCTCGATGCGTTTACATTTATGATCAGGGACACATAATGAGGCATGGGAACAACACTTTACCGATCCGGAGATGTATCAGCGTCACCTCATAAAACAGACGGTTTACATTGGGGCAAGGAAGTTACTTAAAATTGTTATATGGAGCAAGGAAGTATTTATTGATATAGACCGATTATAATGCCATGTCGTGTTAACCTTCGATTGCCATGTTGACTAGAGACGAGTCGATAATTAGAAAGGGAGTATAGGTAGATCGATGTTACAGGCGAGTCGATAATCAGAAAGGGGATAATGTAGATCTATGTTACAGGCGAGTCAAAATGTATGATAGGCAAGTCGATAATCAGATAGGGAGTTTAGGTAGATCTATGTTAAACACCCTAAGTGTGCAAAAGTTAAAAATGATGAATGTGTTTATGAGTGTTTTAAGCTGACAGCTTTACCGACAACACCTCTACTGTACTCGATACATATGCACATCAATGAACAGCTGGTGGATATACATATACACATCAGTGAACAGGTGGATATACATATACACATCAATGAACAGGTGGATATACATATACGCAAGGAATGTAACCGTATAAGGATTTGAACTAACGAAGTTATATTATACAATGTCTACATCATAACATTAAATGTTACTTGTTAGCTTCAACAAGGTAAGTATGTCTTAAGGATCCCCGTTATACTGCCAAAAAAGGTCAGCTTCAACAAGGTAAGTACATGTATGTCTTAAGGATCCCCGTACCACTGTCAAAAAAGGGTTAGCTTCAACAAGGTGAGTATGTCTAAAAGATCCCCGTACCACTGTCAAAAAAGGTCAGCTTCAACAAGGTAAGTATGTCTTAAGGATCCCCGTACCACTGCCAAAAAAGGTCAGCTTCAACAAGGTAAGTATGTATTAAGGATCCCCGTACTATTGCCAAAAAAAGGTCAGCTTCAACAAGGTAAGTATGTCTTAAGGATCCCCGTACCACTGTCAAAAAAGGTCAGCTTCAACAATGTAATTATGTCTTAAGGATCCCCGTACCACTGTCAAAAAATGTCAGCTTCAACAATGTTATTATGTCTTAAGGATCCCCGTACCACTGCCAAAAAAAGGTTAGCTACAACAAGGTAAGTATGTTTTAAGGATCCCCGTACTATTGCCAAAAAAATGTCAGCTTCAACAACGTAAGTATGTCTTAAGGATCCCCGTACCACTGTCAAAACAGGTTAGCTACAACAAGGTAAGTATGTCTTAAGGATCCCCGTACCACTGTCAAAACAGGTCAGCTTCAACAAGGTGAGTATGTTTTAAGGATCCCCGTACCACTGTCAAAAAAGGTAACTACGCATTGTACAATGATGTTTCCGGTTTAACTATGATCATTCCTTTCTCCAAAGAAAAATATACACTGCGTGACTCTTTATGCAAAGATATGAAAGATGAAATTATCAAAAGATAAACAACAGCGATGTTCTAACCCTGGACTTCAGATTGTTATGCTAACGCTCTAACGGACTGAGCCACCTGGTCAACGGATGTGTTCAGGCCAAACAGAATTGAGGTGAGGAAACTATATATACAAAAACCACAGTGCAGTGGAACAGGGACTCTTAACTTAACTTCACAAAACCAGTTGTATGATTGTGAGCACTTTAATCTGAAATCAACACTTCTAAATCTTCTTCTCCTTCAGAAAAATAAAACCTTCCTTCCCCAACGACATATTTAAGAACACACTTCGATAATTGATCTTAATAATTTTATATGTACAGTAATATGATAGTTCATATTTTCCAATATTTCGTCCTTCCGGTTGCACAGTAAACAAATCAGTAGGCAACATAACGGTGAAAAAAACATTGAAACGCAATTATCAAAGGTCCAAGTAACTATCTATGTTTAAAGAGTCAGTCATGATATGTTCTGTATTACAAGCAAATGTATCTATTGTAAATACAGTTAATCATCTATAAATAGTAACTCCTATACAAAAAAGCAACCAAATATATATAAATGCCATAATCTGCAAAATATGAATAAGACAAATATAATATTTACATAGAACATAGATAAAAGATAGTTTTATAGGAGTTTCTCTTTCGTACAAGACTAATGGAACAAGTTTAATGTATGAAGTTTAAAATTTGACACTGTGAAACATGAAAGAATAACGGTATATTTACAGTAACAGTTGTTCAGTAATAACACAAAACTGATGTGACACACAAATTTTTAAGGTTCTTGTTTATCTTGGCCCCAGAGCTGTTTATTATATAAACATTTGACGTTCAAGGTAAGGAGTTTTCTCAACTTTATATTTATATAATTAGTATACTACATGAAAGGAAGTCATGTTAGTATTCATAATAAATACACAAAAACAAACCTTGATTATAAACACATGATTCATCAAAATGAAGTTTCAATTATATTTAGGTAAAATGCAAAGTTCAGTAAAAGTTTTCAGACGTACATATGTGTATGTACTAGTACCTCTATCAAGTAATATATTCTGACAGTAACAGTATACATGAACTATGAGTCATGCATAGTCTGTTAGTCATGGCTCAGAAGTTCATTGAAAATCAACATAACTAGCTATTGTATAAGTAATAAAAATAAATTCATGTATCTAACAGACCAATATATATATATATATTCACATAATTCCTGCAAACCAATAGAGGCACATGCATTATTCCTGCAAACCAAAAGAGGCGACTAAGTGGGACCCCCTGCTGTGACTTAGATCCATCGCAGTATTGAGAGGCGACTAATAAGACATTCCGTAGCAGATTGGAGATTTTTCACATTTACCGGGCCAGATTTCCAAATGCACACAAATGCACATGTTCCACATTTTTGAAATCTCTCGTTGACTCACTTCATATGACAGTGCATCTTGCGCAAGAATAGGTCCTCTACATCAGCGTTCCTTGTCCGCAATGCTCTCAGCTTAATTGCTGCCTTCGGCTGTCTTTAGCCGAGGGGACTATTGGTTTTATATAATAGCTATATTTTCAATTATAGTATATCAATTCTATCTTCTTGTAATATGATGTATATGTACATGTAACTGTTCTGTTTCACTGTGTCTTGAAAAAGGAGCGGATCGCTCCGAAAATTTTACAACCTAAACTTGTCCACACTGTTGGAATTACTTCTTTGCCCCATATATATATTCACATATGCACATAAAATTCCCTATATGATAACTTTTCGTCCAATGAATATGTTTGATATATTACAGCAAAACCTCGATATAATGCCCCTCATTTCATTTGCCCCCTCGCTTATCATCAACATATTTCAAGGTTTCTTTTTATCTCATTTTCTAAAGAATTCCCTTATACATTTTCCTCAATTTAGGCCAAACCCCTTTATAACACCAACTTTCTGTGGATACGCCAAACCCCTTTATACCACCAACTTTCTGTGGAAAGCCCAACCCCTTTATAACACCAGCTTTCTGTGGATACGCCAAACCCCTTTATAACACCAACTTTCTGTGGATAAAGTAAATGGTGGCAGTATAACGAGGTTTCACTGTATTATCATCCTATTCTAGGGGAAACTTTTAATTGCTAATCTTTCCCCTCCTCAACACCTTTATGTTTCAATTTCTTTTTTCTTATCTTTTTCATTTTCCTTTGAGGAAGAAACTTTTGGCTAGCTTATCCTCTCCCACTCTTTCCTACCCCTAGGTTTCCAAATCTATTGGCTTGGTGATTATGTCCTCTAGATCTCTTGATTCCGAAAGAGAATCCCCCCCGCCCCGGAAACTCTTAAATAGTTAAGTATTGATATATATGGCTTACTGATTTCTCATCCTCTCTCATAATTCATGTTAAGAGTGGGAAAGGGGACAGTAGGGGAGGCTTTTAGGGTAGCAGATGCTTCTCCCAATCCTTAAAATAAAATTTTGTATATCCTATCGACTGAATTAATCAAACTAGATGTGTAGACAAAATATTTACTTTGTCAGCAATGTTTTCGTAATTGACTTAAATTAGATTTAAATAACTGCATGATTTTGCTAAGTGTTTTAACGAACCAAACAAATGATTTATGCATGATTTATTGATTTATGCATGATTTATTGATTTGTGCATGATTTATTGATTTAGATGCATGATTCATTTTTCCTTACTTATTAATACCTTTCATTGTTTTTCTTAAATACAAGAATTATATCTTTTTACGATGTACTGTATTATTTTTACTTGATTCAGTGATTTTTCTCGTAAAGTAAATGATGTTGTACATATTTTCAAATTACAAGTTAAATTGATAGACTTAATATGCAAGTAGGCCCCTCAACCGTCAATCCCCATCTTCTCCCTTACCCAAATTTCATATTTCAGGATCTTTTACCCCCGATGGTGTTGTTTGAATAATTTTAGTGGGTTTTTTCCTGTGATTTTTTTCAGGAACTTGATAGAAAATGGAAAGTTAACACTACAGCAAAACTAATTTCCAAATTACATATTCAACTCTGCACAACTAGAATTCCATATAACATAAAAATTGCACCAAATAAAAATTACTCAATTCTACATTTCTGCAAAAACTTTGAACTTATAATTTAATAGAATACAGCATCATGGCTGTTCCCAGAAGCTGATTCGTTAGGAGGATTCCAGCTGTAAGGTCGTTCGGCTGTTTTCATCGGGACTGTGAGGCAAGCCTTCACTTTCCCTTTACATTCTGTGCATGTCTCGCAGTTCAGAGCATTCTGTTCACAGCAAGTATGATGACCACAGTTCAGCGTAACATAGCAACAATCTGGTTCGTCAGGACTGCTGCATACAGAACAGAATGAGGACACACTCTCCACACGTTCTGATGACAGCAAAAATAAAATACTAGCATTAGTCATTTCAAAAATGTGAAACATTTAAGTTATTTTAACGACACTGTACTTTCGGGAAAACACAAACACACAATGGGGATTTCTTTATTCTTCAAAATCCTTTGAAACCCTTGCTTCGTTACTGTAGTATTTTTTTCAGAATTTGTTCATCGATTTTGTAATGATCTTTGCCGAGTAACAACAAAACTGTTGCAATTAAAAAATAAATAAATATGATTTACAGAAAATAAATGCTTCATTATTATCTTTTGAGGAAATAAATAACTATGGACAATATTGACCGCCTTGCAGCACACCACTGTGCATTGGTAAAATAATAGATACATGTAAATTCAATGTTTTGTCAACCTTAATTTTTCAGCAGCCTGCACATATGTACCTACATGAATTGGGCAAATATACAATAACTTTAAATCAGGAAAAGAATCCTTATTTTCCTTTCATTATGGGAAAATAAAGCACTATTTTGCGATGGAAGCAGCCTGTTTTCTGCTATAAGGCCAAAAGAATAATGAAATCATCAATTTCCAATGTATATGTTTTGTCAGCCTGTATGCAGCACTCTAACTAAAATGCTATACTACACAGTCAGAATTACCTGGAAAGATGACACATATTCTGAACAGATTTACTTACTCTTTTTATCTAATGGTGATAGTGGACCGGGACAATCAGTTGTGTATTCTCCCGGTGGCTGTGTTTCTGGCTGAACTTTGAATCTTTCCAGATCAAGGATGAACTGGTTAGGGTCCTCTGCTTCATGGCCTAAATAATTATATCACCAAAATTGTTAAATTCACCATAATTGTCAAATAATCCAGACTTATGTAATATGCCCACAACAGATAATCAAAGATGTCCGACATCTATCTGTCAAAATGTCTAAGCCTGTCGGATCAATAGGAA